CGGCCGGGCGCGGTGGCTCAAGCCTGTAATCCCAGCACTTTGGGAGGCCGAGACGGGCGGATCACAAGGTCGGGAGATCGAGACCATCCTGGTTAACACGGTGAAACCCCGTCTCTACTAAAAAATACAAAAAACTAGCCGGGCGAGGTGGCGGGCGCCTGTAGTCCCAGCTACTCGGGAGGCTGAGGCAGGAGAATGGCGTGAACCCGGGAGGCGGAGCTTGCAGTGAGCTGAGATCCGGCCACTGCACTCCAGCCTGGGTGACAGCGCGAGACTCCGTCTCAAAAAAAAATAAAAAAAAATAAAAATAAACTATCAAATGCTATTCAGTTACAGAGAACTGTAATTGATAAAGGATAACAGTATTTTCAGTGAATGCTTCAAATAATTCATACTGTTTTCTGCTTTCATTAATGATTATATGTGAAACTCAGAAAAATGGCAGGTGACCCTTACTAATTTTACTTCTCTGAATATTTTATTATAAGAGAAGCACAGGACTACGTCTGCCAAAGGCCAGCAATTATAACAGAATGATTCTAAAAATTTACAATATCTTGCCTGTTACTAAAATTTTCTGTAATTGGAAGAAAAGACAGGTTATGAAATTTTATTATCCACAGCAAACTAAATTAGCACAGCCATTTACTTGCTGAATACATGACATTCTTCAGACTAGATAGTCCCCTTTCTTTTTTATTTTTATTTATTTATTTCTGAGATGGAGTCTTGCTCTGTCGCCCAGGCTGGAGTGCAGTGGCGCCATCTCGGCTCACTGCAAGCTCTGCCTCCTGGGTTCACGCCATTCTCCTGCCTCAGCCTCCCCAGCAGCTGGGACTACAGGTGCACGCTGCCATGCCTGGCTACTTTTTTTGTATTTTTTTAGTAGAGACGGGGTTTCACTGTGTTAGCCAGGATGGTCTTGATCTCCTGACCTCATGATCCTGCCGCCTCAGCCTCCCAAAGTGCTGGGATTACAGGCATGAGCCACTGCCCCTGACGATGGTCCCCTTTAAATACATTTTACTGAGTTCAAAGCCCACGTTACACTTTAGCACCCTTTTTTCTTAAGGAAAAAATAGCCAGTTCAAAAATGAAGAGGTACAGGGCAAGAAGCCATTAGTTTGTCAAAACCTAAGTTACATAACAAAAATACGAACACTGCTTTATACCTAATAAGTTCCTCATCAATCAAATTACTATGAGCATAAAGATTGGAGTTAAAAAAATTATCAACACTGTATTTTAAAAGTTTATTAGAAGAAAAAGAAGGAAAACAAGGAAAGAACTAGCCGGCTAGCTCCAGGTAGAAAAATAAGGCAATACTAGAAATAGTTAATGTTCTTCATAAGGAGTGAAGTATCTCAAAAAAAAAAAAAAAAAAAAAAGATGTTGACTTCTATCCTACTATCCTAGACAATGATGTATAAAACAACTGTAGGTAGACTGCCCCCCTCCTATAGATTAATACAACATGAGAAAATAACTCAATATTTAATATTGAACCTGAAGCCCAGAATTTTATATTGTTCTTTGCATTTCAGGGTAAAAACTAATCTCAAAATTATTCTCTCTCCAAGTTGTTGTCAACATGAAAACCAATATAAAGGGGCTCCAAGGGGCCAAAGAAGGTGTAATTTTAGAATCAAAAATAGATATAAAATTGATGTCTTACACTGCAATGAACTGAAACATACCAATTATCCCCAATAATTGGTATGTTCTCATGTAGATAACAATGAGAATAAAAACACGAGTCACCTTTAAAGGTTGCTGGGCATCAAAGTTATTCTGAAAGTAAAGGAAAGAATCATGCATTCTTCTGACTCTTACATGAACTATCTTTCAGGGTAACGGATGAGGGATAGTTGTTATTCTTTACAGAAAAGTTCCAGATAATAAATGAAGAAAGAATGACACAATTAACACATCACCATTTTGCAACCTCTGGAAAAAAAAAGACGATCAAAGGCTGCCAAAACCATTAGGTGGATCAGGCTGGTCATCTCACAATGGAGACAACCAGACACGTGTCTCCTGATACGGTACAACAAAAAGTAACAGAACCCCATGTTGTCAAAATAAACCAGCCAACTCATAAACTATCTGACCAAGCCTCTAGATCAAATTCCAGTTTACAAGAAAGAGATATAGGAACATTTTAAATACCACTATGGGGAAGCAATCAGCAAAGTCAAGAGTGTGGGAAAACCAATAGGACAAAGTTTCTTCATCAAATAAATGGAAAGGGGAAAAAAAGATGAAGAAAAAACAATTACACATTAAGACATATCAAACAAACGCAATGTATGAACCTTATTTTGACTGTGATTCAAACGGAACAACTGTTAAAGACATTTAAGTCAATTAAGGAGATTAGAGTTAATAAATTATTTAAAAATATATGATATACTGTAGTTATTGTTTTAGAAATAGAACCTCAGATATCACACAATAAAAATGGAAGAATAAAATTATTTTTTCATGCGTCTAATTTTATTAGAATAAGCAACAGAGTTGCAAATTTGAACAAGTGTTTTAGATTTTAATGAAAAAATCAACACCCCAGAACTATGCACTGAAATTCTTACACTTCAATCAAAAAGTGATTACTAGTCATCCTGCTAAAAATACATGTGTTGGTTACATGCCTATCTTAAAAAATGAAAAAAAAATTTTTTTTGGAAGACAGCAGAGAATGTTGCTACTGGGCATATTCTGTGAATCTCAAATAACTAATACTAACAAAGGAACATACTTTGGGGATGCAGATCTCAAGCTTTACATGTAACTGTAATGGTTCTAACATTCACATCTTAAAATCTCCCAGGAAAATAACCTGGAATTCCAACCAATTCTAATGAGAATTGAGAGAACTTATCTCTATCTTATGATTTCATATTCTTGATATGTGAGATCAGTAAAATTACTTAAAAATATGCAAATTCCATTTCCATAGGTCTTTTATGCCATCAGCCTTGAGACTTGCTTCATAAATAAATTCACTTCATGGGTACATAATTAAAATACTTTTCTTTTTTTTATTGGACAGCATGAAAGTCTTGCATCATGATCCATTCATAGGGAGGTGCAGAGTAGATTATTTCCATGAATAGTATGCAAAGAGAACATTTATGAAATCCTTCAAGTTATTTTCAACCTGGTATGGGTCTATTCATTGCTAACAATGTTGCCAGTCATACTACCACTAAAGCTACGGGAAATTGGGGGTCACAAAAAGAAAATAACACAGATAATTACTAATTTCAATCAGAGGTGTATTAAAACAGCATATTTCAAGCTGAAGCTATGTTAGTCTACAACGCAGAACTGCTGGCCCAGTGGTGATTATTTCCCACAATTGACCAGAATTCCTTCCCTAAGCATCTATTAGGCTGGTTTCTTTACAACCTAAAGAAAGAGAAGCACATATCTAGACTGCTCTTTAATCACAGAGACATCTAAAAAGTCACTTATATCCGATTTCTAAGCAAGCTATGTAGAACCTATTTACTGCCATTTATACAGGCACTAAAGCACAACACAGCAGTAAGAGCTGAACAAGAATCTGATTTGAAACTTACCTATGAAAAGATGACAGGACATGACAAAATCTTAACAATAAAACAGAAAACTATTATGATAGATCTAATCTAAGGTTTATTATGTTCCAAATTTTTGTGTCCATTTCATAGGCATGTCTTATGAAGGGGGGATGCCTGAGCAGTAATAGCAGAAATCAGGAGCTGAGCAGCTCCTGCGACTAAGAATAGATGATAAATGAAGAACAGTATTAGGCTAAAGACTGGTAAATCTACACATCTAGTGCTGCAAAGTGGATCTTAGCACTCCATCTGAATACATTAATTGGTTGTATATGTTCAGTATCCCCCAAAATCCTCAAATGAGCAAAGGCCCAGAATTTGGGGTGGAGGACCAGAGTCTTTAAAAAAGAAATCTAGTCCACTGTGTGTGCAATAATGTAAATCAAAATGAACAGTGCAACAGATATCTTTGTTACATGGACATTTATTGTATGAACAAGTTTTTTTTTTTTAAAATAGCTATACCCATGTTAATTGGAGGGGGTGGTCAAACATGATCACTAACTTACAGTACATCTGCTTACAGTAGCAACATTACTTTTTAAAACACAAGCTGATTTAAATCTTTCCAAATACGTAAAAGCTGTCAATAGAATCCCTCAGTTTCAGCTGAATAACTAGAATTATAAAAATTCAAAATAAAGTTTAAAAAATAATTTCTTTGACAAGATAGGGATTCATACACAGCCTCTGATGTCCAAAGCCCTTCAAAACGTATTATCTGCATGGATAAATACTTCCTGGGGAAGGAAAAAAGGTAACCACCAATTTAATTATTTGGGGGTGGGAACAATTTTAATATACAAATATAAACAAAGTTCTCAATGCTCCAACTTCAGGGGTACAACAAACCTAAAACATTTTTAACATATCCAAAAGAGAAGTATATGGCCTAAGCCCATAAGCTTCCTTAAGTGACAAATATACTAAATTCAAATTCACTGAAATAATTCTCTGGTAAAATGGCCAGGCATTGAAAGACCAAAGCAAAAACCAGTGTACTAACCTAGTTCAGTAGCTATGTAACTAATGTTTTTCTTATGGTGTGCAAATCTTTTGAGAGTGAAATTTCTCTTTCACTATTATGTTTAAATAGTTGACTTTTCAGATGCTCTAAAACACACAAATCAAAAGCACAGACAAAAAAAACACACCATTATATTTCATAAAAGAAACATAAGAAACAATGGGGGGGGGTCTTTACCTTATTGTACATTAGACCCTCACTTTTAATTTTCATGAAAGGAGAACTTTTTCAAAAGACTAATATCTAAAAGCAAAAGCAATTTGGCATGTTTTATCCAACATTAAATATTTTACATATATTATAAACACACACACAAACACACATACATGTATACATACAAATAAAAAGGGTTTTGGTTTTTTTTTTACCTAAATGCAAACTGGATGAGGATCCATGTGATGAAAGTGATGGCGGTGGCGTAAGTGAATGTCCTGGAGTTTGGCTTGGCAGAGGCATGCCTATTGGACTTGGAGAGGAGGAAAATCCCAGACTATTGTAAAATGGTTGCCCTATGGGTGCTAGGCTGCTACTAGATCTTTTGTACAAGTCAGAGCTAGTAGATAGAGACTCTCTCCTTGTGGCACTACTACTTGCAGAACTGCCAACTGAAGAAGAAATAAAAAAAACCCTAATTACATACAGTGTTAACTGAATAAAACCTATCCCCAACTCTCGCTGGGCAATAACAGAAGTGATCACAATAATTATTTTTAGAAACATTTTGGAGAAGATAATTACTGTGATAACTATATATACTAACTTATTAATCATAAAAGGGTATAAATGCACCCCAATAAAGAACCAAATACTTAACAGAGCAGTCATATGTTTCATTATTTCACACATATTTACCACTGACACACCTGATTACTGTGCTTTAATACCCTGGTATGATTTATAAACCCTGGAATTGCAAGTTGTCTGCATTAGGACATGCTAGAGATTAAATTCCATTAAGTTTAAATTCTGGTAGTATCCTCATCTCTGGAACCTGCTTCTTAGACGTTAACTCAATGCCAAGAAAAGATATGAATAAATAAAATATTAGTACATTTCCTTCACCATTCATATGTAATTTGTCGTCTAGCTGTGTTCAAAACACAGCCCTTTAAGTCCATATTGGCCCGAATATTGATCAGTTGTGAAATACAGAGAGCAGCTAACTCAACAGTATTTTTCATACTACACATTCTCCCTTGTTTTCCAACTACATTACAAAATAACTCAACTTTTAGAAAATTAATAGCACTCATTGTTATCAAACCAAAGACATGCTTTCACTTATCCCACAGGACTCTTCCACTCCTAAGATGCTAGTACTGCCTCCTGAGCCCCTTACTCAAGGCTGATCAGGTTTTTGTCATTAGACAATACACAATTTCTCTTACTTCACATCCCTTAATACACTGCATACCGAATTTTTACTTAATACCAAATGTAACTATTATCCTTCTAATCCTTTTTCCTTTTATAGTGCAGAAAATAAAGGCCATGTAGGTCCTGGTGAGCTATACATGCTTAGAAAAGCTAATCAAGATCTGGCTGTTAATCAACACCTGTCTGGATAATCAAATTCCACTGCATGCATCTCTAAGGGCTGTCCAAAACTCTCAGTTCTCAAGTCTCATTTAAAGCCCATATATTCAAGTATGTTTCCTTCCTATTTCTAAGCACTAGCCTCTTTTAACTGAATAACTTTTACATCTAAGAAAATTTCAAACCACATTTCTGAACCTGCCAAATACATTTTTAAATGACAAGCTCTATATTCGGACCAATATGGCAATGCTTTCCAAGGAATCTGTAAGTTTCTATTAAATCTTATTTAACCACAAGTCATATATAAGTAGGTCATACAGGGTATAAAGAAAAAAATTAAGGAGTGTACATCATGGGTAGACCAAGGTAAGAGTATAATACAGACAGAAAACTTAATTACGTTGGTTTTGCCACATTCAAAATTCTATAGAGGGGTAAAAAAACAAAAACAAAAACACAGGCTTATGCTACCACATTAGGCAAAAGATTATAATGCTATTCAACCTTTTATACCAGCCAATGCAGTTCCTGAGACTGACCATGTTTGGTTGAAAATTTTACATTTTAAGATATCACAGTAAGAAAATACTAGAGGTGTCTATATGCATTTTTATTGCAAAAATGTATTATAAGCACATGTAATAAAACAGCTATTTTTGAGTTGGTTTTGGCAAAACTGGCAATGTATGCTACATTAACTATGCTAATTTAAAAGGACACTGTCAAAGTGATTTTTCTAAAATATGGCTACATTTTAAATTCCTATTTATTTCAGAAAACAATTTGACAATGGAAAAGACAACAGCTCTCTAATGAGAGCATTATTCCCCTGACAAATAATCCAATAAACCAGTTTTGACATATGCAATATTATTTTCCTCCAAAAAGGAAAAGCCAAGCCAAACATTTAAAAATAATTCAGAAATAACCTTAAACATAAAGAAGCTGGCTCTTTAAGTTTTACTATATGACTAAATTATCTCCAACAGTATGACTATGAGATATGAAACAAAGTGTACCTAAAATATCTAAGAGGGTAGACGGACTGCTAATCATTCATTGACTGTGAAAAAAAGGCTAAATTATAAACTTTCAATTGTAACAACTCTTTAAAAAAATAACAGGTCATAGAAAAGATGATTTAAATTATATGTTACGACGTTTAGGCTTCTTGGCCAACTGTATCATAAAATGGGGTATTTAACACTGTTAAACATTAATAATTTCATCATAGAGGTAAGAGAATGATTGTGTATGTTACTTATATATGCGCATACAGGCACACAACCACATTATGTTTTAGAGTTCATATAAGTATGTAATTGCCATAATGTGAAAAGGCAGTGGGCAAAGCTGTAAGAGTCCATATGCATAGCACTTGAATAAACTCCCACAAAATGCCCAAGAGAAGGGAGATGATGGACTCTTTACTGGCATTCAGGGGTGGCAATCACTAATGCTCTCTAAAGCAAGGTAAAATGAAGCTCTTACAGATTGGAGTCAGAATTGAGTAAGCCATGCTTGTAAATAACTGAGGCGTGAAGGTTAGTTTTGGGGAAACGGCATCTGTAGGGGACAAAATGTTCATGTCAATTCTTGAAAGGGGGAAAGAGCCTTACCTAAGAAACAAATGGAAATTTGAAAGAACTGAGTAGGAGCCTAGAAATCTGTACCAGACCATCAGTGACATACTACGTGAGAAAGGAAACATGGGGTTTAATCAATGCTCTCTTTTTTCTGAATTATTTAGGGCCTACAATTTATAATTTAGAAACTATTTCCAGAAGTTTTTTATGTTACTTGTTCTTCCAGTTTTCCTCAGAATATTTAGGATTCTTTGGAGAAAATGTCCCAATTGTGTTAGAAACAAGGAATGAGTCCTATGGGAGTGCGTGAGGTGGACAAAGAGATACACAACTCCAAAAGCAATGAAAAAACTCAAGTACAAAAATGAAAAGATTTAACAATCCCCATGTTCACTGGATTTTCCCTCAGAGATTCTTATGAGCAGCCTTTATATAATTTTGTGTCAGTCAAATATGACATTCACTTATTGTATTTCATGACAATAAATGAAGAGAGATTCTGCCATCTAAAAGTTTATGGCTGTTCTAGACCATCCTTCCTGTATATATGAATGATAAAAGTTCAGAAGACACTCCCTTAGAAAACTGGCAAGCATTGTTAATAATGCCTGGCATGTGTTAGTTCTGCCATTTTCCACACCAGAAAAGAATATAATTTGATGTGGTAAGAAAAGAGATGAGAAACAGATATTAAGGACTGTAGCAAGTTATGTTATAGAAACAGAAAATCTCTTGAGGTCCAAATAGCCCTATCCTCATGAAGAAAAGGCTGCCAACTGCACCAATAGAACTGGGTCAGCTGTTTTTTCCGTAATGTTTCCTGAGTACTGTGGAAAACTCACAGAATACACCAAGTGTATCAACAAGAAGTCAACGTGGGACTCTTCTGATTTCACTTAGTTCTTCCTCTACCACAGGATCCAGGAACCAGTTTGACTGGGTCAATTATTTAGTGAAGCTATTTAAAATTTTGATTTCTTAAGTGTCATATAAAGCTAAGATACATGAATAGATACCCTTTTAAGTAAATTTTTAGTGACAAAGGCTAACTTATTTAACCTAAAAAAACCTACCATACTGGTAGTTTCTTAGGGGATTCTGTTGAGAACATTTCATTATTTATACACACACATATGTATTTTTTTGTATTAGGCCAAATTTTAAAACTGTAATAAACTACCAGCATTTAATAAGAATAAACCATCTAATAAGCACACAAAGATAACTGCTTTAAAATACCAAAAATTTAAGATGGCAAAATATTTACCTCCACAAACATTAATATTATGTAGTGAATGAAGATGAGCTAATAATTAGTGAATAATATATTGACCCAAATAACCTTACTAAAACAAAAATTACAGTAATCAATTCCTAGAGCCAGGGAAAAAGGAAATGTATTACATATGAGTTAAGAATAGGCTGCTTGTAATGAGTTAAACATTGGTGAGTGTTAAAAAGATTTGCAGGATACTTTTTTCCCTACAAAATTAAACCAGTAGTCCAATACTTTATTCCTGTCCTTCCTATACTACATGCTATTATTGCTTATTTTAATGTTAAACACACTCATATACCTCTTCCACTTAGCAGAGTATGCTCATCGTAAAAAAAAACTTACCTGATGAACCAAATCCACTGAGGGCTGAGCCTATAGCAGCACCCAAAGAGTTACCACTTCCAAAGCCAAGAGATGTACTTCCAGGTTGACCAGGTCCATGAGAAAATAAAGAACTACTCTGGGAGCTATTAGTCAAAGAACTGCTTCCATAAAATGAATTAGATTGCAGATTAGTGCTTGGCTGCTGTTGCTGCTGCTGCTGCGGTGGCTGAGTGCCAACTGGCCGAAACAGACCATTTGTGCTGCCTGTAAGGCTACTTGCAGTTCCTCCAGCTGCTGCTGCCGCTGCTGTAAAATAAATTTCAGATACTTCTTTAAACCAGCCAGGAAATTATTCTGTATTTAAAAAACGAGATCTCAACACCAGAAAAATATTATCCTAAAAATGTCAGTTACACTTACCAGCTTGTGCTGCTGCTGAACTAATTAAAACAGGTGTTGGAGCCATTAACCGAACTGGAGTTCCAAGGCCAGTCCTTGCTCCAGGGCCAACCACTAAGGCACCAGTCTGATCATAATAGGCAGTTGGAGCTAATACTTGATAGCCTAAATAAAATAAATGTTCACTAATGAAAGCACTTATTACAAAAACATGCATATTTTTTCCCCCTGCATTTGTATTTTTCAACTAGAAAACACAGCTATTTGTATTATTAGTATAAAATCCTCAGTTAATATAGGCAACGCAACACATTTGACAAGGTCTTACTAAATATATGAAAAAGTAATAGACTGTCATTAAACACTTTTTCTCTAAATTTTACTTAGGGGCCACAAAATGAAGAGGTATTTTCCTTAATATAGAAACTACAGACTATGAAAGAAGGGCTGATATTAGAAAAAAATACCACCATTTAGTCCTTCGAAGAGGAAGGATTAAAAAAACTGGAAATAGCAAGGTAGAACACTTTATGAAATGTTTACTATGCAATTTCATTGAAGTTCAAAACCAAGTGCCTTATTACCAGCATTCCCTTAGATTTTCATTTATAACCATCTCTTTAAAAACTTAAGCCAAACATTCTATTTGTGAAGATTCTCAAGCTAGAGTTTAATTAAAAATCACACAGGCTTTAGTTCTACTGTAGCCTTAAGCACAAGGTAGGTAAATCTGCAATCTTCACAACTAGTGGAGAATAAAGTTAACTTTTTAACAGACTTTCTCAATGGAGATTCCCTGTTGAACCAAAAACACAGAAAATGATTTAAGTAAGTATTTTGTTAATTCTCCTCAGGATGATATATAACAAGCATCACTCTGGAATCACAGGAGAGAAGTTAACTATATACACTGTGGACACTTTAGAATAATAAGGCTTTATTCTTTTCTGGAACTCAGCTGAGAAAGGTTGCCTCATAAAGCAACAAAAACTGAGGCCCAATAACCTTACAACTATCAGCAAAAAATGTACTAGCAACTGTTTTTTCCCTTAAAGAGTGCTGTCTTGCTCTGTTGTCTAGGCTGGAGCATAGTGGCATAATCATAGCTCACTGCTGCCTCGAACTCCTGGGCTTACATGATCCTGCTGCCTCAGCATCCTAAGTGGCTGGGACTACAGGTACACGCCACCAGGCCTGGCTAATTTCTTATTTTCTATAGAAATAGGGCCTCACTAGAATGGGTAGGCGGGCTGATGAGATCCGGCACTGATCAGCCGGCGACAGAGCGAACTCCTCAAAAAAAAAAAAAAAAAAAAAAAAAAAAAAAAAAAAAAGGCCTCACTATGTTGCCTAGCCTAGTCTTTAATTCCTGGGCCACCGATCCTCCCGCCTCAGCCTCCCAACTGTGTCTGGCCCTTTAAGAAGTTTTTAAAAACACACACTATATTGAAATACATTCCAACATCAATTTTAGTCTTATTTTGTTAACACTATGCAGAAATCAGAGTTATAGTAAAATTAGTGATAATGCAGCATGAGCATTTTATTGCCTTTAAACACAGTAGGCTAAATTCAGCTCAAATATAATAAACAACGCTCAGATAAACACTTTACCTATAAGACTGAAACTTCCACATGCATATGTTGTTTTCAGTAAATACAGTAATTCTGACCAAGAATAAGCATTAGCACGCTGCTAATAAAACATCCACATTACTAGTAAATTTCAAGATGTATATACCAGTCAATAGTCTTAACTAGTATTTGTGGTCTAGTCCTAAATCCAAGGCACACAAAAAATATTCTTGTTCAAAAACATTGTCATTTACTTAACATCTGATTTTGAATGAAAAATAAAAGTAAATCCATTTGGACATCTGGCTATAAACACTCTACTGACAAATCAAACAGCACTTAACTGCTACTTAATTAAATTTGGCATATATAAATTCCCAGAGACAAAATAACCCACAGTCAACTCATCTCTGAAGGCCTGTTCATTTACCTTCTAAATCTTTCTCAAATCTATCCATTCTTGTGATGATTACTTTCCTGTCCAACCAGATTATATGGTCTGCCCTTGCTCTTTTGTTCCGTGTCTATAACACATTCCCCACAGAGACTGTGGTCTGAGATTGATATTAAAAGATATCAATCCACACTCTTGCTCCAAACCTTCCAAAGGGTTTGAAATGAAAAGCAAAACTCTGAATATGGCCCACAACGTGATCTGGTTGGTTCCTGGCTGTCTTTCTAGTTTTACCCGGTATCCAAGTACCTATGTTTTGGGAAAAATGGGGTTTCAAACTCCTCAGAGGCACCATGCTTCCCCTCAGCACAGGGGTTTGGTGCATTCTGTTCCTTTGTCACAGAATATTTTTTCCCACTCTCATTCTGTACTTAGCTTAATTTTTCATTAATTCATCAATTTGACAAATATTTATCAAGTGGCTACCACATGCCAGGCCCTATTCTAGGTACTGGGATAAAGCAGGGAAAAATAAGGAAAAATATCCTTAAAGGGGATTATTTTCTGCTTCAAGTGAGATAAATGAAAAATAAGTAAAAAGGTACGTTAGACAGTTTTACATATTAAAAGGAGAGAAAAATCAGACAGGGAAAGTGGAGACAAGTTATTGGGCAGTGACAATAGTGTTAATAATTCGAAGCGGAGGGTCCTGAAGAATCTCCATAACAAGATGACATACGAGGAAAAATCTAAACTGAGAGAACTAGTGAAGCAGATATCTATAGGAAGACATTTCCAAATAGAAGGAACAGAAAGTAAGCCAGTACGACTGGAAGAGAGACAGAGGGAAGAGTAAGACAGGCAACAAGGGGCCAGATCCTTACAGGTCACTGCAATAACTTGAGCTTTTACTTTGACTTCAGGCAGGAAACCATTAGTTTTTAGGAGAGGAGTGAATTACTTTGACGTTTCTTACTTCATTTACTTCAGTTACTGAAGTAACATGGTATGTTTGGATAACTTCAGTTACTTCATTTACTTCAGTTACTGCGTAGAGAGAGGACTCCACAGGGGAGAAAAAAGGGACAAGAAGATATGTGAGAACCCAGATGGAAAGCTAATCCAGAGACGTAATTAGGACCAAGTCAAAATAGAAGTGATGGTAGAAAGGTAGTTGAATTTGGAGAGCCCTCAAGATTTGCTGAGATTAGACGTGGAATGTGAGGAAAAAAGGCATCAAGGATTCCCATTATTTTTTGGCCTAAGAATTATAAGAACAGAGTTTCTATTTATGATAAAGATGGACATCATAATTTATCCAGTTTACATTTTCTAATTTACTATCATGAGATTGTTCCTAATAGCTAATGACCGTTTAATTTTCCTATTATTGGTTATTTATGCCTTCTCTGTTTTGATGAGTCTCTGAGGTTATCAACTTTATTGTCTTTTCAAAGAGGTGGTTAACTTCACTGTCTTTTCAAAGTAATTTCTGGGATAATTATTTTGTTTGTTCTCTATCTCATTCACATCAGCTCCAATTTTTATTATATACTTCCTTCTACATTCTTTGGTTTCATTCTCTTTTTTTTTCTTTTTAGTTTCTGGATAAATGCTTATCTCATTCATTTCCAGCCTAATGTTCTAATGTAATCATTAAAACCTATATATTCTCTTATGTTCTGTTTTTGTTCTAATCTACAAGTTTAAATATGTAGCATTTTCACTATAATTCCATTCAAAAGCTGCTAATTTCCATTGAATTATTGTTTTATCTATGGCCATACCACCCTGATCATGCCTGATCTCGTCTGAATTATTTTTTTGCTACTGAGAAAGTCTGTGACTAAGGTTAGGTGAATGTATCAAGAGTGGGAAAAGGAAAAAAAAAAGACGTAGGGAAGAGTGATATAGAAAGACAAGACATGGGGAATTGAAAAACAAAAACTAAAAAACATGGTCCTCATACTCAAGAATTATGTAATCTAGCAGAGAAGGAAACACACTCCTTATTTCTAAAATGCCATCAACTTTAACATATGACATAGATCTAACAACTTCCCTTCAGAGTAACAAAACTCTCTAACTTTAAGACATTTCCCATCTACAATCACATTAAAGTAAGTGTTGTAGAATGGTGAAAATAAACCACAAATAGCTAAATGAAATGCAAGGCATACAGAAGTACTAAAGAAAGGTGCGAGTAATACGCCAAAGAGAGCAGACAAGGGAATAATTATCAATGAATGAGCACCGGGAAAGATTGAGGAAAGCTTCATGAAAGGGACCATATTAAGATGAGAAGGAAAGTTAATCATAAAATGTCTATGGGCTGAAATTTTAAAAAGCAAACACTATACACACCAATTTTGTTTAAAATTTATAAAGGGGTATTTTAAGCTAGGAAAAAAAAAAAAGGAACATGAGCTAGGACTAGAGGCATAGAAGTGCATGGTATGTTTGGATAACAGTATATGGTCTAGTGCATTAAAGCACAGGACTATAAAGGAATTCGAGACATTTGGTAGGCCTATAATCTCAGCATTTTGGGAGGCCAAGGCAGGAAAATTGCTTGAGGCCAGGAGTTCAAGACCAGTCTGGCAACACAGACACTGCCTCTATAAAAATAAAAATGACCATGAGGCAGAATGGTAGAGAATTGGTAAGTCATTGGATGTGGAGGCATAGAAGAAAACCAATAGTTACAGATAACTTTGAGGTTGAAGCTAAGAGTTTCTAGTTCTAAAGAATAGTAGAGTTAAGTGAAACAAGGTAAACAGTAGACAGGAACATTTGGAAATGTGAGTTCATTTTCTGACATTTTCAATTTGAAGAGTGCCTGCAACATAAAAGTAGAAATGTTTGGTACAAGGACAGACATGTATGTATTAGGTGTTCAGAAAAGAATTCAAGATGCAGATGTAAACTCACAGGGTTGACAGTTGAAAGGATTAATGAAAATATACTCTCCTAAGGAATAAGCGTAAAGGATCTCCATTTTTCCTATCTGAAACCAAAATTCAAAGAGGAAAATAACTTGCGCATGGTTACACAATAGCTATGTGGTGGAAATACAGCAAATCTAACTCTGAAGAAGGTAGCCATTAAGTCAGACTGTCTTTTATATTTAAGGATATATATAGAGGAAGCAGAGACTAATAAAAAAGCAATGAGAGGTGAAAAGGCTACCAGTGAAATACCACTCAGCAGAAAGGAGTTACAAAGAGTTGGACAGAGTCAACAGGGTTCACCTGTGCAACAAACTGAGCATAAAAAGATACAGAGGAAATTATAGTTTGTAACTGTCTCTAACTTATATTAGAGACACTACAAAGGAATTATGGAGGCAGAATTTAAAAGAGGTATGGGGTAGAGTATAAATTTTGACTAATAGTCCATGAGAGAAGCAGAGTAGAGATAAAGCTTTTTAGGACTGAACAGGCAGAACAGCACAGTGGGTTGAAACGAAGGACTGGGAGGGGGAAAGACTTAAGATTCAAGATAGAAAAACAATAGCACACAAGATAAAGCAGAAGAGTTAAGAACAGGACAGTAACTAGGGATCTGATAAAGTACTGAAGAAAGCTAGAAAGAAGAGTTAAAGTATGAGCCCTGAAGGAACATCGATTTTCTCAAGTGAGCCCTTTTTAGTATACACATTAGCTTTATAACTATGTAACTATTTGATATGGAAAACGAGAATTATTTCATCGTCACAGTCTGGGCAGAATGAAGTAAAGGCGGCATCAAAGAAAGTTTTAGTGTGAAGGGATCATGTGAACAGCCCAAAAGTCACCGAAACATACAAATACAAATTCTAGTAAGGCCCTTCTTATGAGAGTGGTTTTTACATTTATATTTCTAAAAAGGGTAGGGCTGCGTGCAATGGCTCAGGCCTGTAATCCCAGCATTTGGGAGGCCAAGGTGGGCAGATCACAAGGTCAGGAGTTCAAGACCATCCTGGCCAATATGGTGAAACCCTATGCCTACTAAAAATACAAAAATTAGTTGGGCTGGTGGCAAGTGCCTGTAATCCCAGCTACTTGGGACGCTGAGGTTGCAGTGAGCCAAGACTGTGCCACTGCACTCCAGCCTGGTGACAGAGAAGCCCCTTCTCTACTAAAATTACGAAGTTGGGCATGGTGGCACGCACCTATGAAGTCCCACCTACTCAGGAGGCTGAGGAAGAGGAATCGCTTGAACCCGGGAGGCAGAGGTTGCAGTAAGCCAAGACTGCATGCACCACAGCACTCCAGCCTGGGCGACAGAGCGAGACTCTGTCTCAAAAAAAAAAAAAAAAAAAAAAAAAAAAAAAAAAAAAAAAAAAATTACCTATTTTTATCATCACTCAAAAGATATAATCAACTGTTTTTAGACAAATATAGAACAAAAAGTTGCTTTTTTCTAGAATTACTAACAGAATTCACTGTTGAACAGCAGCAAAAGAGAGGAAAAAAGAGCTTTCTCAAAGAAGGGAAAGAAGAAATATGAATATAAAACTAAATTGTAAGATTGAAATTAACAAAATTAAGAGCAAAATACTTTGATTTTATTTGCTCAGTGGCTCATGCCTATAATCCCAGCACTTTGGGAGCCCAAGGCAGGTGGATCACTTGAGGTTAGGAGTTTCAGACCAGCCTGGCCAACAAAGTGAAACCCTGTCTCAACAAAAAAATACAAAATTTAGCTGGACATGGTGGTGTGTCCCTGTAATCCCAGCTACTCGGGAGGCTGAGGCACAGGAATTGCTTGAACCTGGGAGGCGGATGTTGCACTGAGCTGAGATTGTGCCACTGCACTCCAGCCTGGGTGACAGAGTGAGACTCCATCTTAATAAAAAAAAAAAAAAAAGAAGAAGAAATAAAACTATGAGCTGAATATAAAGAGCAAAGGTATTTATAAGAAATGAGTAATAGGGCCAGCATCAAGAGCCTAGGAGGATCAATGGGTTATAGGACACAGCAAATACATGCAGGCCAGAGGCACTCTCTTAATTCCAGGTTCCACAGAGAAACTAGTTAAGCAGGAAAAATTGTTGTACTCCATAACTCCTCTCCCCGTTCTACATATAGCTGAAACCTAAGAAGAACCTAAAATAGTCTTAGTGGCCCTCAAAAACTCCCAGCTCACTTCTTTTCAGCCCAACATCCATGTGCCTAAAACAACTTCAGCTTTACAGTCCACTTCTCAAAAGTCTGCTTTTGCCAAGGTCTCTAATCCACAATGACTCCATGACAGTAGAGTCCAGGAAGCAAAAATATATGGCTGGCGTATAAAAAATAAAATAATGAGAATGCCACCCACTGTACTATCATTTCTACTTCAGGGACAGCATGATGAAAATCTTCTCTTTATCCCGTGAACCACACAAGATGATAAATTCAGTTCTTAGAATTCCAGAGAAGAATAAATGTAACTGAAATAGAAATCCTTCAAATAACATACCAAATATTTACAAGTACTTAATATATAAAAGAAACCCTCAATCATGCAAGTCATTTTTTCCAATACACTGAACATATTTCTTAAATGATCTGAATAGAAAAGTAAACTGCATTACGATTAAATGGAAATTGGAACTCAAATATTATTAATAAGTAACCCACTGATATAGGGACAACCACTGATATACCAAACGTGAAAAAAAGCATACTTAAATCTTCAGAAAAGAATGGCAAGTTATGCCTTATCTGTTGATATTCAAATATAGCTTTAAAGTTTAAAAACAAGTGCTGCATTTTTTTTCTTAGAAAACAACCTTCCTTCCTCCATTATTATTAGTGATCGTTTCACAAAAAAAGTACTTTGTTGCCCTTTCCCAAAAGTTGTACAGTAGCAATAGGTAGAAATTTTATACTGTAATTTTTTTATACTAGGCTTTCATAGACACATTATCGACATTGTTGCTATTAAGTTATAAATAATAGCTTTAAATGCTATAAATGGGCTAAACAAAATTAAACAGGGTTCAAAGTAAAAAACATTAGCTGCAAACTCTTCTGGTATTAACAACTATTCTTACAAGGCAGGAGTGGCAAATAGGTTCTGTCTTGCATACCAACTCTCAACAACTGTTTTACTTCTTGAAGCTATATACTAAAAATTCTGGGTTAGGTTTAGATAGATGTTATAAAAAATGGCTGCATTGAGAATTCTGATACATATTTGCCATTCCTGTCACTGACTCTCACAATCAATACTGATTTCAATTATTAGCATCTGAGTTCTAAATATTTCGTTATAGGTTGGCAAGATTTTAAATACAGTTTGATTTCTTTTCACTCTTCAGTGTGAGTACCTACACTTAACATTTTAAATCTATTCAAATTTCCACAAATGACCAATTGTATACCTGGCATGCCAGTAGCAAGACCCTGACCAAAAGCCAAAGTTGGATTTGCTGCTGCAGCTGCCGCAAGTGATTCTGCTTGCTGCCCTTGCTGACCCTGATTGGGAGTAAGAGGACGCTGACCTGCTCCAGCACGGAGAACCTACAAAGGTAAAATGATTTTCTTAAAATCAATATAAAATAATGGATAAGTAAATTTATCTTGGACAACTGTGTATTTATTACAAACAGCATTTGGATATTCTTTAAACATTTACATGCAAGGAAATGTAGATTTAGCATGAAAAATCACAAAATACATTAACATCAAAAGCAATCACTAGCTCTTAACAGCTAGAACAATCTATAAAGCAACATGGGAGGTTACAGAAAATCTTTGGTTAATAACTATTTCTAATATTCGTGTTAACAAGGTAGTTTTTTTAAAAAAATAAATAATGAGCTTTTATTATTCTCAACAACAGAGAAGACTCCAGACTGTCTTCCACCTGAACTGAATCCACACTGTGGAGGGCACAAGCTGTGGCTGGGCCTGGAAGACACGCCTCAGAGATTCCCTCAGTCCTGCCACCTTGTGGAAGATTTTTCAAAAGAATGAATGGTAAACTCATGTGACCAGCAGGGAAGACAACATGGAAGAAACTTTCCTGCCTAAAATCAGCCTCCATCCAGAGCTAGCACATGGAAGGAGACACTCCTCCTGGGGTCACATCTTCACCAGAAGGCGGGTGGGAGCTCACTGCTGTGAGCCACATATCCTCCTCTCTCGGCCTCTCTATGCTGGTACTTTATCTGACTGCATCTTCCTCTGTTCCTTGGCTACAGTGTTTAATTCTTGAGAAGAGAATGTTGAACAAGTCAAGTCCTTGTCACCCTTAGTCAGAACTCTCATTTGACTTAGAAGATTTGTGCTTCCATTTTTTCTTCTCCTTCTTCCTTTTCTTATGCTTTTCTTTCCTCTTCTTATGCTTTTCTTTCCTCCTCTTTTTCTTGTGTTTCTCTTTATTTCAGAGGAACTGGAGCTGCTCCCATCTTCATCTGAGGTAGAATCCTCCAGTAACTGTTTTAACTGCTGTATCCTTACATCCTTTTCATGTCTTTTATTGCCTCGTATGATGCCATACATGGGATCTCCATGTGCTGCTCTGAACTGTTCTAACTTTTGGTTGCCTTTGATTAAAAAAGGGCATTCTTTGTCGCCATTTGGTGACCATACCATTTGCAACGCCAACCCAAGCATCCTTTAATCTTGTTGCTTTAGGAATGAATTTTCCATCATCAAGAAATTATGAAGCAATCCAAAGAAAAGTAACTTCTTAACTTTGATTTCTTTCCCCAGTGGTATCCAAAGTCCCAAAGTCCTTTAGTTGGTGTGTGAGCCAGAAATTCCCTGTCATGTTCATTGCCTGGTACATCTGGTATGCAGTCTCCTGGCTTAGTCTCATCTTCCTTGATAAGCCCAGGAGGAGGTTTTTTTCATAAAAGGACTCCAAGTGCATGAGCTGCGTTGTGCCGCTTTTGCTCCCGGCGCCACTGTCCCGCAACTTGCCCAGGAGGTGGCCAAAATCCTGGCCTCGGCCACTTGATCCCCGCCTCCCCACGGCTGGCCCCACGTCAGTGCACCAAGCCCCCAGAGCTCAGTGCTGTAAGACCTGTTGCTAACAGTCGGTAGTTTTTTTTTTTTTTTTTTTTTAAAGATTTGTTTGGGAGTAGGAAGAATGGCAAAATCTTAAAGACTTTAAAATTAGATTTTTTTCTTTTTTTTATCCTTTGTTTTGAGACGAAGTCTCGCTCTGTCACATAGGCTGGAGTGCAATGGCATGATCTCAGCTCACTGCAACCTCTACCTCCTGGATTAAAGTGATTTTCCCACCTCAGCCTCTCTAGTAGCTGGGACACGCCACCACACCTGGCTAAGTTTTTGTATTTTTAGTAGAGATGGGGTTTCGCCATTTTGGCCAGGCTGGTCTCAAACTCCTGACCTCTGCACCCGGCCTAAAATTAGATTTTATTAAAATTATTTTCTAGGCTGGGCACGGTGGCTCACATCTGTAATCCCAGCACTCTGGGAGGCCAAGGCGGGTGGATCACCTGAGCTCAGGAGTTCAAGACCAGCCTGACCAACATGGAGAAACCCCGTCTCTACTAAAAACACAAAATTAGCCAGGCATGATGGCAAGCACCTGTAATCCCAACTACCTGGGAGGCTGAGGCAGGAGAATTGCTTGAACCCAGGAGGCGGAGGTTGTGGTGAACTGAGATCACTCCATTGCACTCCAGCCTGGGCGACAAGAGCGAAACTCCATCTCAAAAAAAAAAAAAAAAAATTTTTTTCTAAGGCTGAAAACGGAAATACGAAAAGATTTGGCAAATAAAGTATGAATTTGTTATGAGACTGCTGTAGACCAAATCAAGTTTTCAGGATTCAGAAGCCTTAATAAGAGTAAAAGCAGCTTTTAAACATAATATTTTAAAAAGAACACAAGATTGTATGAAAACAAGGTGGAAATTTAGTCTGGTCAAGGTTTGCTATTCTGGAATACATAGCTGTTGTAGCAATCATATACAAGCATGATAAACTTAATCATTAATTTTACACTACTCAGGACAAGAGGGAGTCATTTTAAGTCCCTCTCTGTAAGAATCAAACACATGTGTGTATATTTTAAGCTAATGTGACATTACGTTTGTCCAGAGATACAGATTAAAAAATAAGTTATTAAACAATGAAGTGATATGATGTCCAAGGACTGAGCCAAAAACAGCTTCAACAGAGCATCTTATTTAGAATCAAAATATATTAGCCGAGGGCGGTGGCTCATGCCTGTAATCCCAGCACTTTGGAAGGCTGAGGTGGGTTGATTACTTGAGGCCGGGAGTTCAAGACCAGCCTGGCCAACATGGTGATACCCCATCTCTAATAAAAATAGAAGAAATTAGCTGGGTGTGGTGGTGCACACCTGTAATCTCAGCTACTTGGGAGACTGAGGTATGAGAGTCGCTTGAGCCCGAGGTGGAAGTTGCAGTGAACCGAGATCATGCCACTACACTCCAGCCTAGGTGACAGAGTAAGACTGTCAAAAAAAAAAAAATAAATGAAAATAAATAAATAAATAAATAGCATATATTAAAGGAAATTCAGAATAAAGTTTAACTGCCAAGTAATACCATGGTGCTTCTTTGGTATAAATATAATGAATGTGACAGCCAGAATCCTGATATATATTGCTTTTAGATTTATCAAGTTAGTTCTTTTGAAAAAGGCTGAAATTTTAAAGATATAAACATCTTTATTTTTCTAGAAATTAAAGCTAACCTTTAGTCAAAATATATTATCATTTCTTGCTTAAAAATATAAAATACCTACTAATCTCTTTTTACTGGTCAGAAACACGTTAACATTTAAAATTGTAATTTAAATACCTGGAAAAATATGGAAGAATAATTATTTTGATGGGAACATTATTAACATACTAATAAGTGAGGAAAAGAAATTTAGAAACTGCTAGATTTCAAGATCGCAAAATAACAGAAACACAGAAACTGAATACAGCCAAATCTTTTAAATTCATAAAATAGTGACTAGGAAAAAAAAAATCCCACGCATAAATACTTGTGTATCAACTATATGCCAGGTGTCATGTTACACAGTGAGGAAACATAAGTCGAAAAACACAAATCTTAAACATTAGGGGCTCAAAGAATTTCAAAGAATACTTGGTATTACTTTACAGAAGGAAGGCCTACCTGTTGCTGTCCAGGCTGAGCTTGTGATGCTGCTTGCTGATTGGCTGTGTTATTTGCCGCAGCTGCAGCTTGCTGCTGAAATAAGTTGGCTGGATACACCCCCCATGGAACGCCGTAATACTGAGGTGGAACCACTGCTGGACCTGAACCCCACACCCGACCCCCGAAAAAAAAGTTACTAGATTTTACAGAGACATGAGGTTAGTTACCTATGAGACATGAGGTTAGTTACCTATCATTAGATTATAAAAGGGGGCAGAAAGAAGACCTAGAGAAGAACACGTCTTTATAATAAAAAACAAAGTATTGATGGGTGACAGCAATGGTCTTAAAAGGAAAAGATGAGAATCCAACCTCAAGGCTACCAATAAACTGATAGGACACTTAACCATCTATCCAACATTTAACAAATGCCAATTTTTGGGTCTGACACTACACAGATAAGATATTCAGAGAACACAGTTTCCATAAAACTAAGATTTTTTAAATGCTCAATTCATTACTTCTCTCAGAATTTTGACTACTGAGATGGATTACAAAATAATTTTTAAATATTTTACTTTCCAATCTATAACACAAAACTGAGGAATATTCTGGTACCAAGCATGCTACAATGGTAACCGAATTGAAAACCTTAAAATTTAAATATTTTTCGTATTTCGCAGTTAGTCACAATTCTCACAGAACAACTGCAAATTATAAGAAAACAAATGAGACGTCAGCATTTATGTGGTTAGGAAAATGAAACCGAGTCAAGACAAGAAAGCACTAGATAATACAAGCACAAAGAAAAACAGAAGGCAAACTAGGAAAATAAGAATAAATTGTTCCTGCTCTAGTCTACTTTATTCAAGATAATATTTGATTCCTGGAGAGTAAATAGTTTATGTACAAAAAGCTTCACCATTAAAATAATGAATAAAATGTCATGATTCCTGACTTACATAACAAACATGTCCTAAAATGTTATCAGTGGAATTTTAGGACATCTTTATTTGTATTAATATATTTTTAAAAGTCAAACTCTCGGTTTCACGTTGCATTCAAAGGGGAAAAAAGCCCAGTATATTTGACTGAATCACTAAAATAAAAAGTTTTTATTTCTATAGATAGCCAGGTAAGCTGAACCTGAAATGAGGACTATTAAAACACTGCATAGACTTTACAAAAAAAGGATACATTGTACAAATAAAATAAAGATACACTGTAAAATAATAAAAGGGTACACTGTAAAAATAAAACAATGAAAAGGATACATTTTAAAAATAAAATAAAAAGGATACATTGTAAAAATGAAAGGATACATTGCAAAAAAATAAAAGTTTTGTAAACTCTATTAATGACATCTACCTAGAAACTCATCCAACCTAGCCAGAAGCCTGAATTTATTAACATGCTGAAATTATAATATTTTGGATACATCGGGACAAATTAAAGAGTATTATTGAACATAATTTTATTGTTTTTTACTTTTATAATGTGGCTACTACAAAATCTTAAACTACATTTTCTGGCTCACATTGTATTTCTATTGGACAATGCTGGTCCTAGAAAACCTAAGTCCAAAATACATAGAATACTAATACACAAACTAAATGACCTCTTAAAGTTACTTCTATCAGACCCACAGTTAGGTGGTTCTCTGTATTATACCAACACTTTACGTACTAACATCCAGTTAAATGGCACCAGAAAAGCTCACATCCTTATAGAATCACATCCAAGTCCACACCAAAAGCTAATGAATGACAGTTTAGTTTCATTCTGGTAGCTCAGATATCAAGTATAAATCTGAAATTTCTTCCCCATTTTTTAAAACAAGATCTTGACTTTAAAAGTAAGTCTCCTAGGAAAAGACTGACTGTCAGAAGTGAATTTCAAACTGATTAGTGACAATATTTCAGTGAAGATAACGCTCAAAGCCAAAAAAAAAAAAACAAAAAAAAACAACCAGCGACAGCCTCAAGTTTTGAAGTCAGCCTATTAGCAGACTCATTCCAATAAACAAAATTCTAAGGCAGACATCAACCTATTCTTGCCTGTATAATCAATATAAACAATGCCTCAAGACTAACTCATTTCTGTCTTTGTAGCCACCTCCACCTAAAACGAACTCTTCCCAACAACCCCAACTAAGATCAGCCAATTGCTTTGTTCAAATAAGACTGTGTCTGATCAGCACACAACTTTTCCTTACTTCTACAGACAATAAATACAGCTTTTTTGTTGTTTTTGTTTTTAGACAGTCTCACTCTGTCGCCCAGGCTGGGCGCTTTGGCATCCCAAAGAGCTAGGATTACAGGTGTGAGCCACTGCATCTGGACAGCTTTGGCTTTTATTTCAGATTCTGAGTGATAGTCTCAGGCTGGGCAGTTTTTAGTCAGTTCTTTCTAACTTGATCCAAACGTTTTGTCCCCTAGCTTGTTTGTACATTTTAGCATTGCTCGAGAAATTCTAGACACATATTTTCTCAAAATTACCATATCTGTTTAGCTTACTCTATTCTATCCCTGACCTATATATGCAGGACACCTACCTTTATTTTATTTTCTGAGAAGTAATTTTACTTTGCATTGTCTCTGTGGGTAATGGGGTTGGTCATTAAAATGGAGATTCATGGTTGACAATAGATTTCTAAAACTATAAAGCTGAAATGTAAGCCAATTACGTATAGGAGGAAAAGTTATTGCGTAAGCGTTTCCCTGAAGCATTACAACTGAAAAATAATACTAACTTCCTGGAAACTTTAGTTCATTCTGGATAATGTTTCAGTTTTTCTCAGAAATTTCAAATTGCCCAAATAGATAAAAATAAAGCTTACACCCAAAACTAAATACATTGAAAAGTAGCCATAATAAAGATAAACGAACAGTATGTTACCTGCTAATGTAGCTGCTGCAGCCAATCCTGCTGCAGTATACGGATCGGTTCCTGGAGGAGCAGCACTAATAATGTACGGATTTGGCACAAATGCAGCTGGAGCAAGGCCTGCTGAGAATACACCAGCTATATTTTAAAAGGGGAGAAATAATAAACAACAATGTGAAGTATGATTTTTTTCATTAGATAAAAACATTTCTACTCTGAATCTGGTGTGGAATGGGGGCGGGGAGTAGAGTGGGCATAATGGTTACATTTTCACTAAGTGACCTTGGGCATGTACCACTAATTCTAAAGTTTTCATTTAAGAAACAGCTGTTTTATAGAATTGTTATGAGAATTAAATGTAATACCAATTATGACATAACTGTACTGTCTCTAGGGGTATGTTATAGAAAATAAAAATATAAATTCAAAAATAAAAAGTAAATGACTGCACAGTACTAGCACGAGACTGGCACAAAATAAATGTGAGAGCTAGAACTGCTACTGGTAAATAGTAGCTTTTCACTCAATCTTATAAAGTCACATTATGAGGTAGGGGTTCAGTGAGGCAGGAATATACAATCTGCCCTCACAAAGCATTCCATCTGGTGAGAAAAACAGGTATATTAGCAAACAGAATATAGCATATTAAGTGCTCTGGGCATAGAGAGGAGGAACATCTAATAAACTTTGGAAGGGGCGAGTAAAATGAATGAGGTATAGTGTAAGATAAAATAAAACTGGAGCTATAACCATCATGAAGACCAATGAAGAGCTTCCTGGCTCATGCTAAGTAGTTTGGACTTTACCCTACAGTCAATAGGGAAACAAGAAAGAGCTGAAAGGCCAGTTACACTCACTTTTGAGTGTAACATATGTTCACCATATGAATTTAGTAAAGGCTGAAAAAGATCTAAAAATATACATTTGCAGTACTCATTCAAGAGAGAAGAAACTCTCAGATGTTGAGGAATTACTGTGTAGGTCTTTCAACCATAGCTACTGGAAAAAATTACTTCACGAGATCCTGTCTCAAAAATAAATAAAAAATAATAGGCCAAGTGTGGTGGCTCGTCATGCTTGTAATTCCAGCGCTTTGGGAGGCCAAGGCGGGTGGAACAACTGAGGTCAGGAGTTCAAGACCAGCCTGGCCAACATGGTGAAACCCCGTCTCTACTAAAAATACAAAAAAATTAGCCGGGAGTGGTGGCAGACGCCTGTAATCCCAGCTACTCAGGAGGCTGAGGCAGCAGAATCACTTGAACCCGGGAGGCAGAGGTTGCAGTGAGACGAGATCACACTACTGTACTCCAGTCTGGGCAAGAGGGTGAGACTCCATCTCAAAAAAATAAAATAATAATAATAATAATAAATAATGATAATAGTAATATTTTTAAAAAGTATTCAAAAGGAAAATATATCTTACTAGGCCTTAAAATCAAAATTCAGGCTCCTGAAGCGGGGCACGCCCAGGGAGGGCATGGAAGCTCCGCACCCCTTCCTCCATACCTCGCCATACCCAGCAGCTCTGTACACCTGTATCCTTTACATTATCTTTCGTAATAAACCAGTAAAAGTAAGTGTACTGTGAGGCACTCCAGCAAATGAAACCCAAAGAGGGGTTTGTGGGAACTCCAACTTGAAGCCAGTCGGTCAGACGTTCTGGAGGCCCAGACTTGCGACTAGTGTTGTGTTGGGGGTGGAAAGCAGTCTTGGAGACTGAGGCCTCAACTTCTGGGATCTGACACTGTCTCTGGGTAAACAGCGTTGGAACTGTATTAGAGGACACCCAGCTGGTGTCTCCTGTTTGGTGTGTGGAGAAAACCACCCACACATGGGTCACAGAAGTAAGTCTATGTTGTCACGGCTTGAGAGTAGAGGAAAAACAAGGTTTTAGGCCAGGCATGGTGGCTCACACCTGTGATCCCAGGACTTTGGGAGGCCGAGGTAGGCAGATCACTTGAGGCCAGGAGTTCAAGACCGGCCTGGCCAACAGTGAAACCCTGTCTCTATTAAAAATATAAAAATTAGCTGGGTGTGGTAGTGCATGCCTGTAATCCCAGCTACTCAGGAAGCTGAGGCATGAGAATTGCTTGAATCCAGGAAGTGGAGGTTGCAGTGAGCCAAGATCACACCACTGCACTCCAGCCGGGCCAACAGTGTAAGACTCTGTCTCCTAAATAAATAACAACAACATAGTTTTAGAGTTTTCCCTACACAAAATCATTTTCTATAGCCTATTTAATTTAAAAAAATACAAGCCTCAACACTGATTTCATGTCTAGGCACAACACAGTCATTTAAGAAACCTGCTTTTATCTATGAAAAGAGTCAAACTCGGTGAATTATTTGAAGAGATTTATTCTGAGCCAAATATGAGGGTTCTAGGTACATTTTAAAATTTTCTGGTTGACAAATTGGTTGAGTTTATCTAAAGACCTGGGATCAACAGAAAGGAAATACTTGGGTTGCGATAAGAGGTTGTGGAACTACAATTTTATCATTCAGATGAATCCTCCAGGTAGCAGGCTTCAGAGAGAATAGACTCTGTTCCTTATCAGACTTAAGGTCTGCGTTGACATTAATGCTGGAGAGGTATAATGAAGCATGTCCAACTCCCACTTCCCATCACAGCCTGAACCAGTCTTTCAGGTTAAATTTTTTTTTTCCCCCCGAGATGGGGAGTTTTGCTCTTGTTGCCCAGGTTGGAGTGCAGTAGCATGATCTTGGCTCACCGCAACCTCTGCCTCCCGGGTTCCAGTGATTCTCCTGCCTCAGCCTCCCAAGTAGCTGGGATTACAGGCATGTGCCACCACACCTGGCTAATTTTGTATTTTTAGTAGAGACGGGGTTTCTCCATGTTGGTCAGGCTGGTGGCGAACTCCCGACCTCAGATGATCTGCCTGCCTCGGCCTCCCAAAGTCCTGGGATTACAGGCGTGAACCATTGCACCCAGCCTCAAGTTAAATTTTAAGAGCACCCTGGCCAAGGAAGAAGTCCATTCAGATGGTTGCTGCGGGCTTTAGAATTGTATTTTGGTTTATACTTCTTATGAAGAAAATATGAGTTAAACTATGAGTTCAATAAAATCCTTTCATTTTAAAGTCATGTGTTGAGTTCTATTTTTAACTATGCCTAGGTCAAAAAGGTTGCAAGATTCCACTCAGGTTAGTGAAAATAAATCTCCCCAAAATCACCAAGCCAAAAAGAAAAGTTGAGCTGGGAACTGCATTGGGCAAATCCTGCCTCCCATTCTATTCCTAAGTAAGATAGCTATAAAGATTGAAAGAGAGAAAAAAAGCTACATATCTGCCTCACAGTTTGCCCGCAAGAAAATTCCTCATGGACAAAGGACAGGCAGAGCTCAAGGTCATCCCTCTGCTTACATGAGAAAAAAGCATATCTGATTTCTTCACTAAGCCAGACTAACGCGTGATTATTCCTGTAAATTGTGCATTCAGTGAAAAACTCATCAGAAACTCAAAAGAATGCAATCATTTGTCTCTTATTTACCTATGCCTTGGTAGCCTCCACCCAGCTTCCAGTTGTTCCATATTTCCGGACCAAACCAATGTACATCTTAGGCATACTGACTGGTATCTCATGTCTCCCTAAAATGTGTAAAACTAAGTTGTGCCCCAACCACCTTGGGCACATGTTGTCAGGACCTCCTGAGGCTGTGACATGGGTATGTTCTTAAACTTGGCAAAATAAACTTTCTAAATTGATTGAGACCTGTCTCGGATATCTTTTGGTTTGCAGCTTCATCTATCATGAATTATCTTTAGCACAAAAGTAGAAAACAATGTATTAGGATTCCTGTTCTACTTATACCACTAAAAAATCTAAAAGTCAGGATAATTTAGTATTCTATAGTTTTATGATAAAAAGATTGTTATTAAAAATTCAAATACTGGAAGACATAAAGAGGAAACTGAAAATCCTCATGTAACCTTTCCTGATATGTATACATACTTTTAAATGCTTACATACTCATACATTTTGTACTCTAATCTATAACAGTACTTTAATATACTTTTTCACCTACTAATTAATCATAAATCTGTCTATAGATACATACCTAGCTCATCTTTTTTTTTTTTTTTTTTTTGAGACAAGGTCTTGCTCTGTCATCCAGGCTTAGAGTGCAGTGGCATAATCATCGCTAATTTCAGCCTTCACCTCCCAGGCTCAAGTGATCCTCCCACCTCAGTCTCCTAAGTAGCTGGGACCACAGGTACGCACTACCATACCTGGCTAATTTTTTTAGAGACAGGGTTTCACCATATTGCCCAAGCTGGTCTCAAACTCCTGGGCTCAAGCGATTTACCCTCCTTGACCTCCCCACAATATTGGGATTACAGGCATGAGCCACTGTGCCCAGCCACTCATTCTTTTTAATGGCTACATATTATGTACTCTTCTGTATAGAAGGAACATGATATTATCAGTCTACTACCTTTACATATTTAGATGGTTCATAATCTTTCGCTATAAATAATGCTATTATCCCTTTAGATACACAGGTGTGTACATTACTATATCCTTACAAAAATTTACTTCAATGAACAAAAACAAATTCTCTTTTTTAAGACATGATGTCTCACTATGTTGCAGAGTTCATGCTGGTCTCGAACTCCTAGGCTCAACTGATGTTCCCGCCTCAACCTCCAGTAGCGGAGAATAAAAGCAGGTGCCACCACATCTGACTTTTCTGTTTTTGTCATATAAATTATTGATCCACTTTTCTAGATTATTTTCCAGGAAAACTGTAGCAGTTTAGATTCCAAAAGTATGAGTGCCACTTACACTCCTGCCAAAACAGAACATTATCAAACATTTTGAAGACTCGCCAACCTAATAGGTAAATTAAAAATTAAATCTTTTATGCTTTTGTTTTTCTCATTAAAAATTTCAATCCATTAGGAATGAGACCCAATAACCCCCACAAGCTATTTTCCAAATAATCATTCTTTTGGCATTGATTTGAAATTCATCTCACCACTCTACCCTAAACAAGCAAGCATGCACATACAGATCTATTTCAAAGTAATCTTGTTCAATGATCTGCTCATATATTTTGAGTCCAGTACCATACTATTTTAATAGTCATAAGTAATCATTGTTTTTAAAAATTCAAA